CTAGCTCCTCCGCCTCCTTCCATCGGCCTTGATTCTTGTGCGTCGACGCCAAATTGGCCATGCTGGTCAGCGTGGAAGGATGCTCCTCGCCAAACACCCTCTTTCTCGTCTCCATCACTCGCACCTCTAGTACCTCTGCCTCCTTCCATCGGCCTTGATTCCAAAACGTTGACGCCAGATTGGCCATGCTGGTCAGCGTGTCTGGATGCTCCTCGCCAAGCACCCTCAAGCTCGTCTCCATCACTCGCACCTCTAGCTCTTCCGCCTCCTTCCATCGGTCTTGTTTTCTGTACGTCAACGCCAGCCATCCCATGCAGGAAAGTCTTTCTTCAGCACTCTCCCCTATATCCGCTTTATTTCTTATCTCCAAGAGCTCCTGAAATGATTTTTCAGCTTCAATATACTGTCCAATGCTATACAGGCTCTTCGCATACTTCCATATTACGCTAAGTCTTCTATTGTCATATTGATCAATAACGCCTTCTTGTAATATATATGCTGCGTGTGGTAACAATATTCTCCATTGTGTCCTGTTTTCATGACTATTCTTTGGGAATTCTTCATCCAATCTCTTAAGCACCTTCTGATTATATTGTGCAAGTATGCCTTTTTCCCGTAACCAGCTTCGAGTCGCTAAATGGACCAATCGATGGAGGTTATATGTCATCTTCTCACCGCGCTGGACAATAAATGAGTACGCCTTAAGTGTTCCGAGAGCTTCCAGCTCCTTCTTGCGCGATGGCCCCTCTGGAAGGACTGAGTGTGGAATATCCTTCCAGTGCATGCAAGCCATAAATGATAGATATTCTGCTGCTAGTGGATCATGACTGCGAACCCGCTCAAATGAGATCTGCCATGTTACCGCCACTGGGTTCTTGGTAGACTGGTATCTCCACTCATCCTCAAATTCTTCACTAAGGAGTTCAATCATATTTTCCTCTTGCTCCTTTAGAAGCAAAAGATAGTCCTTTAATGTAGTAGTATTCTCATTAATATATGCTGTCGCCTGCACAATTGCCAGTGGGAGGTAAGTGAGCTCTTGAACCAGGATCTTAGCATCTTGGTAATCACTAGGATATGACGAATTAAGGAGCAGATTCTGAAGCAACCGCGCTGCTCCCTCCTCGTCCAGCTCCGGAACCTCAACTATATCCCGGCCTGCCAACTTAACAGCCACCCTTTTGTCGCGAGTAGTAAATAATACGCATCCCTGCTTGCTCTTCGGAAGGTATTCCTTCAAGCCCTTTGAGCCTGACTTGAGTCCTGGCTTAAGTCCTGACTCCGATCCCGGCGGCTGGATCCACATGCCCATATCATCTGCATTGTCAAAAATGCATAACCACGGCCAGATATTTTCCTGACTTAGATAAATTTGCACTAGCTCCTTAACATCTGCCTTCTCCTCATCCCAGCCTGGTATGCGGAGCTTCTGCGCGATATTTCGATATGCCTGGTGGAGACTGTCCAAATCCGTTGCTGGAATCCAGAATATCGCACAATTTTGGTATTTTTGTTTTGTCCGATAGGCTAGCTCCAAGGCAATCTGCGTCTTGCCTATCCCACCAAGCCCGACAATGGCTGTCTTGGTTGTTTGCTCACCTATAAAGAGCTTGCTATCAAGGTCCGCGAGGAGCGACTCGCGACCTATGAATTGTGGATTGCGTTCAAAGGGTATAATAAAGCGGGTGTCAACTGCAACCTGTATGTCAGTAAAGTTTAGATACCACGACTTTCGCCTACTAATGACATACCTGTAGTAGGAATATTATCAAGCTCTTTTTGCAGTCGCCGAAGCGCGTTGTGCTTGCCTTCGCCATAGATAAGTGGCATAAAGATATTAAAGATCCCAAGTAAGCAGTATGCGCTATCCTCGTCCTCTGTTGTCTGGCGGCCTGATGCCCACTCCATCCGGTCCTTAATACTAAAGGTGTCCAAAGGTTTTCCATGTAATGCTTCTATAGGTATTCTTGTAATCTTGTGGATAAGCTGGCCAAGAGACTCTTTATCGCCTAGGCGGTGATGCTGGTATGAGTAGAACTCAACTTGAGTAGGAGCAAGAAGCTCCTGGAGCGTCCAACCTCGCGTGAACCATTTACTCTTGCAAAAGTCTTCCTCCCAAACACTCTGGCTTACATCATTGGCAGAAGAAGACACATCAGAAAGGTATACATAGCACTTTTCTGAGCTTTGATAATAGCGAAACATCAAGTTGATTGCTTTTGTGAGCTCAGCACTGTTCGTCTTGTCGATGCAGCAACTGTCAACCCAGAAGTGCCGCAGCCCGTCACGAGCGGCCTGCTCGCCGCAGAACATGATCTTGCGATAGCCCGCCTTATTCCGAGCTTGTCCGCTGGTCAGATCAGTAAATGTGACCTCATCCTCGTCGGGTCCCCAAGTGTGTGAGAGTATGGCGTAGGGGGGAAGCCTGTCCTTCTTGAAGACGGCCCAGTCAAGGCCGCCGTTGCTGTTGAGCGACAACAGCCGCATTATAGTTTGCGGTGTTCGGCCAGTAGTCAAAACAACTAGGTGTGCAAACCTGCATAGAGCGTGTTCAAAGTAGAGTAGCGTTGAGTTTTCTCGTAGAGCTTAACACTACTAAACAGGCGGCAACGGTAGGGTTGTGACTGCCAAGCATTGAACCGTGCGAAGCGGGGTTAGAACCAATCCTGGGCCTCCAAACAGCGCTAATCCGAAGTCGAATTCAGCGCCGTCAGATCAGCTCGCTGTCACGGGATCCCGCCATCACCCCATCGGTGCATGACACCTGTTCGGCACCGCCCTGTTGCCTTAACAGGCCCAGGCACCAATGGGTTGCCTTACAGTACATGACCCCGAGACTAATCAGGGAAAGCGCAAGGGAGATGTTGGACCTTTCTTCTCAGCAGTCCTGCCTTCTCTTCTTCTCCCCTTTGTGCATCGCCCTGTTTTGCATGTAGCACCCTTAGCTGGTACACATACGGCTGAATTGGACACTTTTCACAACCTGCTACTTCACAGTACAACGTTGTTCTCTTGTATTCAGGTAGTTCCGTGACGACGGAGAACATACGTTCCTTCTCCTTGGACTGTACTTGCGCTGTCGGGTCAATCTAGCTTGCGTGTCAATATCATTCCCTTACTTGAAGCCAGTCTATTCTAGGTTGCATTCACCCATTCATCTTAATTGTCGATCCTCTTTCTACAAGAAGCTCTGAATAGTCTCATGTCTCGGTGCTCTAAGAGACCCATCTCTCTTGAAGTAGCTTACGGTAGTGATGCTAGTCGTTTTTGGGAAAGATTTCTAGCAGTGACAATGTCAAGCTCGAATAATCACCTTTCCCGCCTTCCCAAGATGCCGAATGTAGAAGATAAAGGTTCAACACAAGGGATATCCAACGTGATAAAACAAAAAGTATTTCATATTTCTACATGCAAGCTGTCAACTGTGTAAGATACACAGTCTCTTCATAGTAACACCCACCCTCCCTATTCTATCGCCTGCCATTGCGAGGCTTTAGAATGCAAGAAGTCTTTCTTTTCAAACTAGCAAGATAGTCTACGAGAGACACAAGATACTTGCCAGGGTTCCACCTCGAAAGGCCGACATAGACATCGGTAACGTGTCTACAGAAAGGGTTTTTTTTTTGTTCTAGGGCGATGAGTTTAGAACCAAAAACTGAAATTGGTGTTGACACAAAGAAAGCTCCACATTTTCGACTACGAGAGTGAAACGAAGCACAAGACGGTCGTCTCGAAATTTCCACCTCGCCGAGAAGTCTCGTTCGTCTTTTTGAGCGGCTTAGCAAGAGGACTTTTGCCAAACCGCCTACTTTGGTAGCGGTTCTCACACCTGCGCATGCAGAATCAGGAAGACAGGTGACGATGAGCATGCAGCGGAGGCGGACCGAGGGGCCAAAGGGATTGGACTGCGCTTTCATTCTTGCGAGGCTAAGTTTGCAAGTGAAGAAGCATCAAGCAGAGCCATGCCCTTCTTAAGCGACTAGAAAAGGCAGCTCTATGACTTCATGGCTTGCACGCATAATAAAGAAAAGGTCTTGAAGACCTGATTGCTGGCACTTTCAAGTAGTTTGCTTACAATTCACAAGTGACGCGCTTATTTTCCCGTTCCTGATGATGGCGTCTGGTTATTCCAGCGAGCCAACATTTGCATGGGCCTCATACAACCACACGGCAAGTATTCGAAATGTGACGGCAGGCTTTTTTTTACATAGTCAGGGAGAAGTGAGGCAGAACTGAAGATGGCTGACTTGTGGACAATAGCTTTCCTATCAGCATCTCGGCAGCCAGCTCAATTCATATCTCGAACTTCTCATCTTCGTTTCCATCCTTGCCACTCTACTGACTTCGTTTATTTAGACCGCTTTGTCTCCCCCTACAGTCTCGCTGCTGTCCCTTTGCGCATATCATCGCGTTTGCGTATAGATGTACAAGATTGAAACAAAAAAGAAAGAAATAAAGAAAGTAGCCAGTCATGCGGCTCACAGACAATGTCGAGATCTTCATCGCCAATCTGACCGAGCCCGTCCACCATCTTGCTGAGTTCAGCAACAACAGGAGGTATCCCGGAGATACAGAATACCGCTATGTCGCTGCCGACGCAGGTGACCACTTCTACGGAATCACCGTCGTTTTTGGACCAAGCTTCAACATAATGGCACGGACGAACGATCCAAAGTACGGGGAGAAAGTGAAAGCGTGCCGGTTTAGAGCTACGATCGACGGAGGCATTGCCGTTCAAGAGTGCATTTGGAGGCTGCCTGACGTGGTCAACATCGAAAATGACGAAAAGAAGCCGGCAGTGCATAGAATCGATGTGTTCCTGACTGCAAGTCTGGCGTGGGATGGAAAGTTGGAACAATGTCGAATCCAGATCGAGACTGTCCCAGAAGCTCAGCCAAATGGTCAGTACCGTTCGATTGCCATATGAATGGGACCCGGTTGTTGACTAAGCGAAACAAGCAGTGTTCGACAAAGTCAAGATGCCAGCTGAGCTTGTGGAAAAGATTGGCCACATCGACATCGAGTTTGAACGTGGATACCTTGATTTTCGTAGGGAAGATCAGGACCCTCCATTTGTGCCTCATATTCCTGGTGCTTTCAATAGAAACTACTGCGTGACTGGTGCTGCCGATGTAGTGTATCGAGCAAAGTGGGTTCTCAATCGCTGGCATTATTCTGAGAATGGTATTAATAAATCACAGGTTGGTCCCATGTAAAGAGAAAAGACTGCACGATGGGAGCGGGCTCTTCGTGGCTGCAGAGAAGACCAAGAGGCTGAGAATCGACTATTTGTGTCGCTGTGAGCTGAGATCTCCGTGGACAGCTTCGGTTACAAATACTTATCAGATACAGCATCAATTGACTGCGGCGTGAGAGCACAATACATCTCAAGACGCGAGCAGACAGCCGAATTTCTAGCAATGCGAGCAGCTGCGAATGCCTTCTACAGGAACAAGAAGGCTTATGTACTCAATACAAAGTCAAGAGCCGAGTCGATACCTGCTAAGCACATTCCAAAAGAACCACGAGCTAAGAAGAGAGGAGCTAGAGTCGTCGACTTGACTGAAGATATCGCTTTGAAACAAGGAAATGGTTCAGCCAAGAAAAGAGTGAAAAGGGAAGCAGAATTTGGGAATGAAAGAGCTAGATTTCCGCTGATCGACCTGACCGTGGACCTTGACGACGAACAAGGTGCAGCAAGCGGAACGCAACAATTGAAAAGGGAACAACCCCAAATCATCGATCTAACAGAGGAGCCCGTCACTGTTAAGCGGGAGCAATTCAAGTCCATGCAGGGCCTCAAGACCCAGCCGAGAAATACTCCGTCACGGTCTCGTACTGCTCCACCGGTGAACAAAGACCACGCCGAAGGTGATAGCCATGCCGAATGGGGAGCGGAATTTTCAGGTCACAAACCAGCGCTGGTAGAGTCCATGACGAAATCCAAAGCAGTACCTAAGCCAACGCGCAGAGCGCCGGACTTAGAAAAAGCCGGGCAACGAGCAACGTACTGCGCAAAGCCAGCGGTGCCAACTTCAAAACTGGAGCCGCAAGTGCCTGAAAGCAGCAAGGAGAGGAAAACCAAATCTGCAGAATGTCCAGTCGGACGTGACTCCTTTCGACTTGACGCTCAAGCGACTAAGAACCGAACCAACAGAGCGATGTTGAAGGCAGCAAGACTTACAAAAATGCCGCAACATGAAAAAGTGGCTATGCCTGCATCTCCACTCACGCAGTGTCAAAGTAGCGAGCATGAGAGGACTGCGTCTCCACTTTCTCGGAATTCAAGGCGTGCGCCAATTCTTCAAGCACAACCATCCTCAAGCGCGGGAACAAGGGACGATAAGCTCTCAAGATCAAGATCCGTGAGTGTGTCCGCATCTAACGGCATTCAAGCGGTAGCAAAGGGCGTGACCTCTTCACGAAGTCAGAGTTCTTCCTTGGCGAGATCTCCCTCTCCTTGCGTGCAGCCCGATAGTCGAAACGAGGAAGACGCACAGCAAAATGGGCATTCAGGCTCATTATCCCCAACGCATCATTCAGCGGATCTGACGAAAACCAAGAATGGTAACGGCAAGAGAGCCGTCATCGGCCCGGAAGAGATCCAGCTCCTTGGAACCGCAGAGCTTCACGTCCTCAAAGCCAAGTTTGATTACCTAGCGGCGAGGAAATCAGTACATGGGCGTGGTAACAGCTCAAAGGCTCTGCTTTTCAAAATCACAGGGCTACATTGCAGCTTGGAGCTACACAACCGTGAGATTAGAGCTTTGCAGGCTGAATTGAAGGCAAGCAAGTAGGTCCTAGCTCTTGTGATGCGGAAGCCTGTGCATCAAAAGAGCCATGGAGATTGGTGGATCAGCTTCCGAGGGTGATATTCGGTGTATGTTCATCAAGGAGAATATGAACAGCTACAGGTTCGTAGGGGACTCCGGCTCATGGCGGATATGATAAGTTAAGCTGGAGGGTATTGCTGACAAAGGCCTCGTCCGGTGATGACCATAATCTGAACAGCGGGGGCATTAGAAAAGCAAGGAAACGTGTTGGAAGCTCCCACAGCCCGTTCTATTACTTTCAATCCCACGTTTCCATGCTTCTTATGCAGTGTTCTCGCTCGAGATGTGGGTGCTCGACGAGTTCTAGTTAGCGCCCTTCGATATTCAATACGAGTGCTTTGAAAAAGAAAAGAATAATCCATGTCTCCTCGACGTTGAATAGATCACGAATGACTTGATTTGAGCATCGGGATAACGAGTCTGAAAACACGGCCACGGCTGAAAATGGCGCTTGTCTGCGGCAACAGACGAGAAGTGGCATTGTGGCGTCACAACATGCCAGAGGTCTTGACGGTTATCTTGACAGAAGACGAGTGGGCAGGCGAGAGTTGAACCATGATAATAACGCAGGAAGATGGGCTCGCTGGATTTGCACGCTGTTCCAACACCCTTAGCACGGGACAAGATCTATGGGTTATCAAGCCCGATCTCGTGCAGCGTCTCAGCTGCAAGCAGAGCAAGGAAACGTTTGCTTCAGCCCATGCGGTGCGATTCGACGGCTGACTGAACCTTATCACCCAGGGCGAGGGACTGGGCTAGCAAGCTTGCAAATGAGGAAGTGAAGCGTCCCTCCAAGACGAAATTCTGGCATGATCTGCCGACAATGGCCCATTGAAGAGGAGCAGCAGATATGACAGAGGAGGGAGGGGTCGCGAACGCTGCCCACTCGCAGATCGGAAGATGCACATCGCAGGGGTGGCGTTAACTTGGGCACACATAAGTTCCATGCTGCACGTAATGTACGGCGTTGCGGCAGAAGTCATGTAGAATGCCATAACTCAGATTCCTTATCAATGGATCTCTGGCGTGACACGAGCGACCCAAGCGATTGAAAAGGATAGCTACTTATAATAAGAGCGAGCGCCGGCCACACGTAGCAAGCAGGGTGGGAGAAAGTGTGACCCGATTCCGTCTCGCCGACAGTCGGAACGTCTTCCCCAGCGTCGCCCAGGCCCCAATCAACGGCGCCGCATTTTGAATTCCGTCCACCGACGTCCGTCACACGCCCGCCGCTGACCTTCATTCTCGCCTGCGCTCCACAGGTTACCGTACGCCCTTATAGCCGAATCGAATCCTCATTCCACCGTCCTCGGGTTACCACGGACTCACCTTTCGCACCGTCAAATTCGCTGCGCCGCGACACTTTGCGCTCACGGCTCGTGATTCGAAATCGATGGTGCCATAAATCCCGCTCTGGGCGACCCGTCGCGGATTTCTCCAGACCATACAGTCCGCATTCAAGAGAGCATCGAATCGCCCCATACATGGCCAACATGCCCACGACAAACCGCCCTTTCTTTGGCAGCTTCCTATCTGCCTTCAGAGCGCATAATGCGACAATCCAGAAAGCCGGGGTGACGTCGCCGACCGGGGGCGCGGTACCCACGGCGCAGACGTCATACTCGCAGCAGGCCAACAGCTCGGCCTCGACGACGAGCACGACGACCGCGCACGCAACCACGCAAGCTCGGCCGATCACAACAAAGGCCGGGCCCGCAACAGGCGCAACTTCTGTGGCCATACAAGCCGGCCACTTCCAGACGTCGCGGCAGCATTCCACCTCTCCCTACTCGAGGTCCCCGGGCTCGCCAAGCACAGGAGCTCTTACTCCGCTCCAAAGCAGGGGAAGGAGAGGCTCCGACAGCTCGTCGGAAGGTTTTCGAGAAACATCGATGGGAGCAGAGAAGTGGTATATCGGTGGCCGAACCGCCACAGGCGAGGAGCGAGTCTACAAGCTGAGCATGGTGAGGCGGCCGCGGAGCATCGACAGGCTGAGCCTGGACAGGATGAGTCTATGACCGTCGGAATGACGTTGAATGCGTGGGAAAGCACAGAGGACAGAGAGCATGGCTGCATCTCTCCCTTTCTCTCTGTCTCCCTGTCTCCCTGTCTCCCTTTCTCCCTCCCTCCCTCCCTCCCTCCCTCTCTCTCTATTCTTCTTTTTCATTCTTCTTTGCCGGGAAAAGGCGTTGGAGTACAGAGCATGCGCGCTCTAGAGTGTCTGGTACAAGGACTTCTACCGGGTGATCTACACTGAAAAACAAATTCTAGAAACTGGCCTATCGAGGCCGAAACCTTGCACGTATCTCATGTCCTTTGTGAATTGTCTCACTAGTTGGGAAAGAAAAAGACTTCGTTTTTGAAGCCTCGCGACGAGGGCTACGTTTTGACAATGTTGGATGACACGTACGACCGCGATGGAATAGGGTGTGGTGGGCAGGACTGTGAAGAGATTGTATATCTTGTGCAGCTAACAGCTTGTACATACAAATGTCGACTCTTCCTTGTTTTCTCCCGTTGAGCGTTCTTTCCACTTTGCCTCTATTTCAGGGTCTTAAGAAGCCTGGAAAGATAGATCATTCAAGATTGACACGCCTTCGACCAGGCCGTGAAGAGCCAACAAAATATATTATGCTGACCCAATGATGCCGGAACTGCTGTCGTGATCTTCTTCCAATATCTTCCGCACCATGGCGGTCAAGAAGAGCGTGTCTCCGAGCCATGGTCACCTGAACCTCGCTCTCCATCTCGTTTACAGCCTCCGCATACAACTAACTCATAACACTGCAGCACGTGCTAAGTTTGGACTCCGGCACGCAAAGACATGTTGCGAGAATACCGCGCCACGAGGACCAGTGTGTTCCTTTTTGCGCGCGCCTATAGCACGGCAAAGCCTCGATGCTCTCTACATGCCACGGGCCAGCTCGTTGATGAAAATGCCAAGTCTCCTCAGCTTGGTCGAAGTCAAGTAAGTATCAAAGCATGGTCTTTTGAAGAGCTTCGCTTTAGCTTGGTGCTCGACGTACGATCGAAGCGCGGCTCGTGGTGCTGCAACATCCTATCTGCATTTCGGCACGTCATCCTGGAAGAACATCCTGGAAGAAGGGGTTTCAATCAGTCATGACCGATTTTATCTTTCCGACAAGGACGAACGCAGCTTGCGACGCGGAATGCTGGTGCAGCAGCGAAAGCAAGTAAATATATGTATATGTATAAAGAGAAAGGTGCAGGACTCGATCAAAGCGCACTCTCAGGTGGCATGGGTCCAGGAGCGAAATCGACCTTAAAAGATGGGATTACAGCCAAGAGGAATGCGCGATCGAGTACGGAGTAACTTATACTGCACTGCTCCCGTTTCTGGACAGTTTATCACGCCTGGTAACAGGAGTGTCAAGTTAGACATGACATGTTTAGAAATTTGCTTTTGGTATACACGGTAGTAATCATCTTGTAGCTTTGAAACTGTCTTTTCTATATTCAAACCTGTTATAAGGTACCTCTATTGCAAAATCATATATTTAGATCACGTGATAACCGCATAAAAGTCCATTTTTTGTACAGATAAATCAGGAAGATACAACATAAGATACAACACAACTACGGGAATATATCTTTATCATAAGTAGATCATGTTCACAGCAGTTATTGCTTCCTTTCGTTTCTTTAAACGCTACATATTAGCCTTCACAAGCGCTGCCTAGTTCAGGCTAGTCAACAGTGCACCAATAACGCATGCACAGAACGTACTTGACCCCGCTTCGGAGCTTCCGTACCCTACACGGTTCAATGCGTGGCAATGACAATCCTACCGTTGCCACCTGTTTAGTAATGTTAACTCTACAAGAAAACGTAACGCTACTCTACATTGAACGAGCTCTATGCAAATTTGCACACCTAGTTGTTTTGACTACTGGCCAAACACCGCTAAACCATAATGCGGCTGTTATCGCTTAACAGCGACGGCAGCCTTGACTGGGCCGTCTTCAAGAAGGACATGCTTCCCCCCTACGCCATACTCTCACACACTTGGGGACCCGACGAGGATGAGGTCACATTTACTGATCTGACCAGCGGACAAGCTCGGAATAAGGCGGGCTATCGCAAGATCATGTTCTGCGGCGAGCAGGCCGCTCGTGACGGGCTGCGGCACTTCTGGGTTGACAGTTGCTGCATCGACAAGACGAACAGTGCTGAGCTCACAAAAGCAATCAACTCGATGTTTCGCTACTATCAAAGCTCAGAAAAGTGCTATGTATACCTTTCTGACGTGTCTTCTTCTGCCAATGATGTAAGCCAGGGTGTTTGGGAGGAAGACTTTGCAAGAGTAAATGGTTCACGCGAGGCTGGACGCTCCAGGAGCTTCTTGCTCCTACTCAAGTTGAGTTCTACTCATACCAGCATCACCGCCTAGGCGATAAAGAGTCTCTTGGCCAGCTTATCCACAAGATTACAAGAATACCTATAGAGGCATTACATGGAAAACCTTTGGACACCTTTAGTATTAAGGTCCGGATGGAGTGGGCATCAGGCCGCCAGACAACGGAGGACGAGGATAGCGCATACTGCTTACTTGGGATCTTTAATATCTTTATGCCACTTATCTATGGCGAAGGCAAGCACAACGCGCTTCGGCGACTGCAAAAAGAGCTTGATAATATTCCTACTACAGGTGTGTCATTAGTAGGCGAAAGTCGTGGTATCTAGACTTTACTGACATACAGGTTGCAGTTGACACCCGCTTTATTATACCCTTTGAACGCAATCCACAATTCATTGGTCGCGAGTCGCTCCTCACGGACCTTGATAGCAAGCTCTTTATAGGTGAGCAAACAACCAAGACGGCCATTGTCGGGCTTGGTGGGATAGGCAAGACGCAGATTGCCTTGGAGCTAGCCTATCGGACAAAACAAAAATACCAAAATTGTGCGATATTCTGGATTCCAGCAACGGATTTGGACAGTCTCCACCAGGCATATCGAAATATCGCGCAGAAGCTCCGCATACCAGGCTGGGATGAGGAGAAGGCAGATGTTAAGGAGCTAGTGCAAATTTATCTAAGTCAGGAAAATATCTGGCCGTGGTTATGCATTTTTGACAATGCAGATGATATGGGCATGTGGATCCAGCCGCCGGGATCGGAGTCAGGACTTAAGCCAGGACTCAAGTCAGGCTCAAAGGGCTTGAAGGAATAACTTCCGAAGAGCAAGCAGGGATGCGTATTATTTACTACTCGCGACAAAAGGGTGGCTGTTAAGTTGGCAGGCCGGGATATAGTTGAGGTGCCGGAGCTGGACGAGGAGGGAGCAGCGCGGTTGCTTCTGAATCTGCTCCTTAATTCATCATATCCTAGTGATTACCAAGATGCTAAGATCCTGGTTCGAGAGCTCACTTACCTCCCACTGGCAATTGTGCAGGCGGCAGCATATATTAATGAGAATACTACTACATTAAAGGACTATCTTTTGCTTCTGAAGGAGCAAGAGGGAGATGTGATTGAACTCCTTAGTGAAGAATTTGAGGATGAGTGGAGATACCAGTCTACCAAGAACCCAGTGGCGGTAACATGGCAGATCTCATTTGAGCGGGTTCGCAGTCGTGATCTACTAGCAGCAGAATATCTATCATTTATGGCTTGCATGCACTGGAAGGATATTCCACACTCAGTCCTTCCAGAGGGGCCATCGCGCAAGAAGGAGCTGGAAGCTCTCGGAACACTTAAGGCGTACTCATTTATTGTCCAGCGCGGTGAGAAGATGGCGTATGACCTCCATCGATTGGTTCATTTAGCGACTCGAAGCTGGTTGCGGGAAGAAGGCATACTTGCACGATATAATCAGGTGGCGATTGAGAGATTGGATGAAGTATTTCCAAGGAATTATTATGAAAAGAGGACACAATGGAGAAGATTGTTACCACATGCAGCATCTATATTACAAGAAGGCGGTATTAATCAATATCATAATAGAAGGCTTAGCGTATTATGGAAGTATGCGACGAGCCTACATAGTGATGGACGGTACGTTGAAGCTGAAAAATCATTTCAGGAGCTCTTAGAGATAGGAAGTAAAGCCGGGGTAGGGGAGGACGCTGAAGAAAGACTTTCCTGTATGTCATGGCTGGCGTCGACGTACAGCAATCAAGGCCGATGGAAGGAGGCGGAGGAGCTATTTGTGCGAGTGATGGAGACGAGCTTGAGGGTGCTTGGCGAGGA